AAGCCAGCCTTTTTTTTTCCTCTTTAGAAATAGAACAAAAATAAATGCCTTTCATTTTATTTTTTTTATAATACAAGTTTGAGTAATGATGTGCATTGACAAGGTATCGGTTGTAATTTTAGTCCTTGGAAAGCGAGAAAGACACAGCGAAGGGTTGGTGAAAAAGTACAATAGGATTTACAATACAAGAAGTGCCTTCCAAATACGCACATTATTCATCATGTATGTATATAATATATGTATATGTTATGCAAGAACTAGCTACACTGAATGTTGAACTGCCTGGCAAGCAGCATACTGCTATGCATATGTTGATGTTTGTTTTGCTCAGTCTTTCCAGTAAAAACATGTTACATGCATAATGAAAAAGTGGTTGCTCTTCTTTTTTCTGGTTCTTGTCCAGGATGTGGCTGTGGGGTGCTTGTGTGTGCATGTGTGTGTGTTTTGTGTGTGGTGTGTTCAATTCTATGGACTGAGCGTGTGTGCTAGTGCCTTTCTGTGCTCCTAATACACGCCAGTGTATCCAAAGTGTATATGGTCGCTTTTAAGGACAAACGGGCTAACCCAGATTTCGGGGTTTTCTAGAAATCTTGATCTACACCAAAAGTGGGCATTGCCCTACCTATAGGTTTCATTGGGGTGTATATTTGTTTTGTTATAGAGAAAACTCTCCCTGTCTTTTAAAGAAACTGAACAAGGGTAAAAGACTTGACCTTCGATTTTCTCAAAACAGCATTTTTCAGGATAGCCCCCTTGTGCTTAAAAGCGACCATATATCTATTTATTTAAGTCAACGTACAGGAGCTCAGGTCCAGTAGGCTCGGGAAGGCAGGATTCATGGGTCAACAGAACCATATTGAAACAATAATTCCCATTTCTTGCTTGGCAGTATGTAATAATAATTAATAGATAGCATTTTTGTATTGCCCAAATTTCCCCTAACAGCAAGCTCAATGCACTTTATAATCTATATTACTGCCCCAGCAGACTTGATAGCATTCTAAAACAACCTCAACTCCCTGGGAAGCATATTAGTGCACACAGACATTTTACAGGCGCTAAAACACTACTAATATACAGACAAGATCTTTCGCTGTCAATGGCCAGGTACCCATTCTCATCTGGGTGGTGAGGAAAATTCATTGTAAAAAGCCTTTCCCAAGGACACAATTTATGGCATGAGGCTCTAACCCCCGAACCCACAACCTCCCGATTATTAGTTGGTAGTCTAACCATTGTAGCGACAGAGTTGCGGTTCATAAGACGAATGCTACGTATCCCAAGGACAGCTAGAAAAACAAATGAAAAAGTCCTAGTTGAAGCAAATTATAGAAGACAACTTATCACGAATATATAAGAAAACGACAGGCAAATTTCTTCGGACACACAACACGGAAAGAAGCATTAGAGAAAATTGTAACAACAGGAAAGTTTGATGGAAAGAGAGGCAGAGGCAGTCAGAGGGAAAAGATACTGGACAAGATGACAACATGGCTGGGAGCAGCAAGAAAAACAAACACCATTGCTGCAGCGCGGGACAGGGTAAAGTGGAGGTCCATAATCGCCCACGCCAGTCGGCAAGGCACCGGATGATGATGATGAGTCTAACCATTAGACTACCAGCACCAAATGAGAGACAGGACAGAGGAAAAGTACAGAAGCAGGATCTACCAGTGGTGCACTTAAACTACTCGAATGTGCTTTTCTATCTGTGTCAGTATTGGGTACATATTTAAATCCAACTTCTAACTACACACAATGTGCATCATTCTGACGATGAATCACTTGGTTCATGTTAGTGCATAAGAGCTGACCGAAAATATTCCCGAAATAAAAAAAATAACTGAGTTCCGATACGGATAAATCCAATTTTCTGAAATGACCAGGTGGTGGTTGGCGGGTGCTCAGGTTTGGTTTGCTCCTTCTTTCCTATCAATCAACCTGATCTCTCCTCCTTCTTTTATATAATGTTTGTTGCTCTCTTGTAAGACCTTATTGTGTTGCAATTGCCATAAAACTCTTACTAAAACTAACATGAAATGATCGGCATTTTGCCCGACTTCTTGATACAAGGCATATTAGTAGACAATATGAAATAATAAATTTTGAGTCTCCGAGTATGTGTGCGTTTCGACAGGGTCCGAAAAAGTTCCAAGCTTTTTTGGGGGGTTTTTCAAGCTACTTGACACCTGTGTTATAATAAGTTATTAAATAACGGAGACCGTACTCAGATTAAGAGCTGAACCATATCATTACAGATGCTGGTTATTGTTTGGAGCTGGGAAAATGCAAGACAGACAGATACAACAGAAAAAGTAGTAAAGTAGTACACCTTTTTTTGGGGGGGGGGGGGGTAAGTGTTTTACGACACTCGCAACTGCATAAGGTCATATGAGCGCACTGAACACACAAAACATTTTCAGTTGGTAGGAAATTTTGAATTTTGCACGGGTGGCGGCTGAAGCCAACTCATTGATTTTAGACGACTGGGGGATCTTTAACGTGCGCAACTTGCACACGAGACCTCCCGAGACTTTTCGCCCTAGTCCGAGAAGGCTAGGTGTAGATCTTTCCGACCAGAACATCAGGGGTGTGGCTGGAAGACAGCAGTAAGGAGCCAGGGAGTAAAAGTAGAAAGGCTGCAGAAAGAGTCAGGAGCCCACAGGAGGGGGTAAAGAAGGTGAGGGGGTGGGGGCAGAAAATGGAGACGAAAGCAGACGACAGAACATTGCTAGAGAGCAGGAAAGGAGGTGAAAGGAGACAATTTTAGAGAAGAAAATTTTCTGGTCACTACCCGGATTCGACTCCGGAACCTTTTAATGAGAGGCAAACACCTTAACCTCTAGGCCACAAGAGCCCCCAAAGTAGTACATCCTTCGACTACTCTTGCAAAAAAAAATTATTATGCTACATCGACTTTGACAGTCTAGAAAAACATAAAAACCAGCAGTTCGATATTGCCAAAAAAGTAAAAGTGAGAGTAATGTAGCTGCTAAAAAAATCCACAAAGGACAAAAACACGATGATAAAAAGCTGAATAAGAATGTTTATTCCATTACAAATATTAAAGATTCCTCCAGAATTCACTGTGAAATCTTAAAAAGAACAACATTTAAAAAACGATTACAATGCATTATTACAAGATGCACATTAAAAATCTTCAGAAAACAACAAATGTTGCTCGTTAAAAAAGAAAAAAAATACACTTGTCTATTTCAGAAGACAATAAATAATTAAGATATAATGACACAACACTTTCCGTACACAAACTGAAATATTTGTCTGGGGATACACTGCTGTGGTCAGGAGCACAGGTATTATTAGGAATGACTGGAAAAATATAGGACATAAGGAGAAGTCTCGACTAGCCTCAACTCTTCTGAACCGGGAAAGACATTATAAGCCCAGGGTTTCCCATAATATAAGCATCATAACTTCCACTGTTTGTGAAAGTGAAAGACATTAAAGGTAGTTACAAATATTATATTATCATTAATTATGTACAACTCTTTGCATTAAAATTTAACGTGATTATAACATGTTATATTATAACAGTCTTCGTTCAAGTTCATTTTATTCGTAAGAGTTTTGCGGCACTTGCAACACAATAAAGTCAAATATGTGACGAAGATTAAAGGTGTTACAAGGGAGTAACAAACACAAAATAGAAGGAGGAAAGAAAAGGATGATATATGTTTGATAGGAAAGAAGGAGCAAACCACACCAGGGCACCCGCCAACCACACACTTCGTTCGTTCAAGTTCAGAGAAGCACATTGACACAGAAAAAGCAAGACAACAGAGGGAAAATATTGAGGTAGAATCTACCTTTGGCCCCCATCAACAGCCTGTTACTAAAAAAAAAATGTGACAGACAAATACATAAAACTAAGGGATAGTACAGAAGTTGGGAACTATCAGAGGCACCAGTTAACAGTACTAAAACAACTTTTTTTCCCTGAACCTCTGCCTCTTCCATAGAGACATGTCATTATAACGCTAAAATTACGCCTAATTCATGTCTGTCTACCACATTTTTCACTTTCAGTGAGTGTGAAAATGAAATAACAGAAACACGTTTGCAAGGAAAAGAAAAAAAAATCAAGAGGGGAAAGACAAGATACATTACAGTTAAGGCACTTCACCAGTAGTTTCAATGTGGAAGTGTTAAGGAAAACAAGACAGATCCTAGTCAGAGATGAGATAGGAAGAAGGCGGTGGCGATGGATTGGACATACTCTCAGGAAGTCAGGCAGCTGCATAACAAAGAAAGTTTTGGATTGGAACCCACAGGGCAAGAGATCAAGGGGAAGACCTCGTGGAACCTGGAGAAGAATCACAGAAACGGATGTACAGAAAAGTGGGAAGACATGGAATAACATCAAGAGGCTAGCCCAGGATAGAGAAAGGTGGAAGGTGTTTGTCCGTGGCCTATACCCTGGTGCCTAACCACTACGCCACTGACGCCACACCATAGTAGACAGCACATCATAGAACAGACCATCAGCAACTTTATAGTATGCTGAAAAATTTCTTCACCCCTTAGAAATGACCAATTGAAAATAAAAGATGTATTGCTAAATATACATATTTTTTTATATACAGTTATAAGCCGCTCAGAGAAAAAAAATCAATAAAAAATTGCCCACGTGGCAGAAAAATGTCAATTTCTTTGATTTCATTATTTTGACCAGCGCCTGATGTCACCACGATGCCTCACAAATACAATAATTTAGCCTTGTACACACAAACAACACTTCACAAGAAAAATACAAGAACATGCTGCCAAAAGAAAACTCCTTGACTGTCACGTGTCTGCCAATATGTTCAAAATGTCCCAACCACCCACTTTGCAGGATCTGTAGACTAGCACACCTTTATGTTGGCTACCAGGTATGCACTACCGCGTGCTGGGGTCTGAATAAGGGTGACAGTAATAATCAGGGTTCATACTGAGCAGATTTTTTCCCGACGAGTTTTCCAGGCCAGATTTCTTTTTTCCAAGAGACTTCCAAGAGTTTTCAAGACTAGATTTCTTTTTTACAAGACAAATGACATGTCACTTAGGAAGAAAATTTTTCATTCAGCATGTAATAATACATTATGGTACTCTTCAGAATGCGGAAAATCGAGGCCTTCTAAACTCCGAGGAAATATTTTTACAATAGATCTAGTTTAAAATTTGTTTTTCCTAGGCTTTTCCAAGAATTTTGCCAAATTCCCCAAATTCAAAGAGTTCTCCATGTCTTGGAAGATAAAAAAAACAAACTTCCAAGAGTTTTCCAGTATTCCAAGACCCGTACGAACCCTGAATAATGTAGGCTCAGGGTTCAATCAGACATGCCTTCCAGACCAGAGGGTTAAACAAACTTAAGTACCACCAGTTGGAGGAATATTCTCTTTCCACCACACACGACATACTTAAAAAAAAAAAAAAAAAAAAAAACCAACCTCCCCCCACCAACTTGAGATATCTTTTCTGTGCACTCATACATAAGAAATAAAGAGCATGTGAACAAATTTCATGTCCAGCTGAACACAAGACATATAGAGCATGTGAACAAACTTCATGTCCAGTATCTCTGCAATGTCTTGTGGATTTCGCCTACGTGGAGCTATCCTGTACAAGAACTTGAGTTTCCCCTCTACACAAAAGAAAACTCTGCAGTGGGCGAGGAATTCCCAGACAGGCCACATCTCGCTCAATATCGTTCGAGAGGCAAGGGCGAATAACCGCACGGCACAGGGACTGCAAAGAGCCGACCTGCGACAAGGCACCTTGAAGGCTCGCGTGGAGCATTCGAAATGATTTACAGTACGGCAGTAGCCACGAGTAATGCCTGAAGGAACAGCCGCAAGCAATGAGCACCTCCATGAGCTTGCGGTCGGCCTGGTGCACTGCCAGGAGGAGCACGTTGTCGTAGAGGTCGCGGGATCGGTACAGCTGTGTGTCCAGGATGATGTGTACGTTGGTCACGTGTTGCTGGAGGTCCACGTTGCGCATGATCAGCCAGTGGACCAGCAAGTGGTTCCCCATCTCCACAGCGCGCTGGAGGCAAGTCTTTCCCTAGCCAAACACCAACAGGAGAAAATTATACATATAGAACAAAGCCTTTCCATGATGAAACATCATCAATAGAAGAAAGTTAGATAGATCATGGGTCTCAGATATCGGGTCTCAACTCAGAATTTTAAAAAAGGAGGAACTTTCTGCGTGATCACAACAGAAGACCATTTTCACGAGACACCCATTATTATTACATGTACACTTTTCAACCCTAGAATGCTGAAATAAAAACCATTAATTTATCCAAGCAAGGATATTCCATACCAATTTGAGGGTTTGGAAGATAATTTACAGTAAGAGTCACTTACCAAATATTTACAATCTTGATTAAGTACAGAAAGTGGTGGTTTAGCGGAGGAAATGGCGGTAGCGGAAATCCGTTAAATAGCCGAATATTCAGACCCATGATAGATAGAGCAATGAACAAAGTCTTTCCCTGATTGAACAGCAATAGGAGAAAGTTATATAGATAGAACAATGAACGGAGTCTTTCCCTGATTGAACAGCAATAGGAGAAAAATGAACAAAGTCTTTCCCTGATTGAACAGCAATAAGAGAAAGTTATATAGAGAGAGTAGAGCAATTAACAAAGTCGTTCCCTGATTGAACAGCAATAGGAGAAAGTTATATAGATAGAGCAAAGAACGAAGTCTTTCCCTGATTGAACAGCAATAGGAGAACGTTATATAGTTAGATAGAGCAATGAACAAAGTCTTTCCCTGATTGAACAGCAATAGGGGAAAGTTATATAGATAGAACAATGAACAAAGTCTTTCCCTGGCGGAACATCAATAGGAGAAAATTAGATAGAACAAAGTCTTTCACGGATGAAACATCATTATATGAGAAAGTTATATATTTAAAAAATCTTTCCCCGATGAAACATTAAAAGTAGAAAATTAGATACAAAACAATCATTATAATGCACAGAGGAAATGTTTAGTCACCACTTAATAATAATAATAATGATAAAAATTAATAATAATAATACGATAACGGGGGGGGGGAGTAAAAAAGTAATGCAAGCTGTTCGTTACTTTGCGCAATGTTGCATCAGATTAAATTAAATTCAGTTCACACGCACTAGCACATGTACTGTTGAACTCAAACTGTTAAAATTTAAGTTTCTTTGATTTTTGCCTGAAAATGGCTGCCCCCTTGGAGGTCAGTCAGAGGCAAAGAGCAGTCATTAAATTTCTTGTTTTAGAAGGAGAATCCACCGGTAGCATCCAAAAGATTGTTTGTTGTTTGTTTAGTATAGGGTTTTACGGCGCTCGCAACTGCATAAGGTCATATGAGCGCGCGGGACACACCTAATACTTTTTCGTTGGTAGGAAATTTTGAATTTTGCGCGGGTGGCGGCCGAAGCCTACTCTTATCGATTTTAGACCACCAAGGGATCTTTAACGTGCGCAACTTGCACATGGGCCCTCCGAGATTTTTCGCCCTTGTCCGAGAAGGCTAGGTGTAGATCTTTCCTACCAGAAGATCAGGGGTGTGGCAGAAAGACAGCAATTAGGAGGAGCCAAGGAGTAGCAGTAGAAAGGCTGCAGAAAGAGTCAGGAGCCCAGAGGAGGGGGCAAAGGAGGTGAGGGGGTGGGGGCAGAAAGTGGAAATGAAAGCAGACAACAGAACATTGTTAGAGATCAGGAAAGGATGTGAAAGGAGACAATTTTAGAGAAGAAAATTTTTTGGTCGCTACCCGGAATCGAACCCGGGACCTTTGAATGAGAGGCCAACACCTTAACCTCTAGGCCACGAGAGCCCCATCCAAAAGAGACTTCGAAATGTTTACATGGAACAAGCTCTAGATAGGTATATAGGTGGGTTACATGTTTGAGCAATGGACCGGAAAAAGTGGAGAGGAGGAGGTGCCCATATGCTTGTCAGACAAACATCGTCCCGCAGAATCAGCGGAAAAAATCGTGGCAGCTTTGTTTTTGGACGTTCATAGACGGCGTCTCACAGATTAATTTTTTTACCACGAGGAACAACTGTCAATTCTGAAGCCTACATTGAAACACCGAAATGACTGAAAGCGAGAAGACCAAATTTGAAAATGGAAAAAGTGTTATTTTGCACCATGACAATGCCCGCCTGCATACAAGTACCAGAACAAGGGAGACAATCATCCCGTTTGGGTGGAAAACACTGCCACACCCAGCTGATTCTCTGATTTGGCACCTTCAGACTTCCACGTTTTCGGTCCTCGAAAAAAATCATTGAGAGGCCAACACAATGGAAACGATGGACAAATCAAGACTGCGGTACCCTAAAGACAAACCTGCTCAGTCTTACGAAGCTGCCATATGTTGACTTAATAAAAGGTGGACAGTGGCTATTGAACAAAATGGAGACTATGTTGAGATATAGAAATCTGATCCTCAGATGTTCCCCTTCAATTTGAGGTATGATAGTTGCCAGTGCGTTCTTTCTTCTTTAAGTTATAAACAAACTTGCATTACTTTTCGACTCCCCCTCATAATAATAATAATAATAATAATAACAATAATAGCATTTGTATAGCGCATATCCAATCCCTGTTCGACAGCAAGCTCTTCGCGCTTTACACTATCTCGGCAGACCATAGAACACTCAGCTTCCCAGGAAGCATACAGTGCAAGTAGCTGATGATAATAATGATTATAAAAATTAATAATAATAATATGAGGGGGAGTCAAAAAGTAATGCAAACTGTTCGTTACTTTGCACAATTTTGCATCAGATTAAATTAAATTCAGTTCACACGTACTTGCACATGTACTGTTGAACTCAAAATGTTAAAATTTAAGTTTCTTTGATTTTTGCCTGAATGACATCACATCAAAATGGCTGCCCCCTCGAAGGTCTGTCAGAGGCAAAGAGGGTCAGCATAAATTCCCATTCAACAGTAAGCTCTATGCTCTTTACAATTTACATTGTATATGATTACCCAAGAAGACCTGAGAGCATTCTGAAACAATCTCAACTTCCAGGGAAGCATACAATGCACGCTGCCATTTTATAGGCGCTAAAACACTAACATACTGACAAGATCTTTCGCTGTCTATGGCAGGGTACCCATTCCCATCTGGGTGAAGTGAGAAAAATTCCGGTAAAGTGCCTTTCCCAAGGACACAATGTTCAGCCTGGGGCTCAAACCCCCGAACCCACAACCTCAAGATTACAAGTCTGGTAGCCTAACTACTCGACTAGCGACGCCATTCAAAGAAAGGCGGAAAAGAAAAAAAAAACAACCAAATACCTGAGCGCCTCTAGCACCAAGGTGTGCGCCATACCGCAGAAGCATATCCAGGCACTCAACGACATTCCCACATGACGAATCCAAGGTCTTGAACGGCTGGTGTATGGCAGAATTTCCTTCTCCGTCCTTTAAAAACATATTGCACCCAGCATCCAGCAAGACCTGTGCACGATGAAATGAATGAAAGTCTATGTTTATTTGTCTGTTTGTTTGTTATTCAGGGGTTTCTGTGTGTGTGTGTGTATGTGTGTCTATGATTAAGAAAGACCCTACCAAACAGATGAAAAGATGTTTTTTTTATCCAGAATTTGACTTAACTCTTTTTATCCGGGCTACGAGTATTCTCGTAACAAGGACCAGTCCGGGCTACAAGTAAACTCGGAACAGCGATATGGTCACGCCAAAGAAGCTAGTTCTGCTTGTTATTACCAAAATACGCAAATACTGCGATGCTAGCTCTGTCTGAATATTTAAATTTTCTAATGAACAGCGGTTACGTTATTTTTAATGGGTGTAGAAGCTTGAATGATGTCTCGAAAACGCACGTTCACGACCGACGAAGTACTTTTTGAAGTGGCGCTGGGTTGTGAGGGGGAATGATACTGAATTGATGAAAGTCACTCTGAAACAAGTGTTGTGGATGATAACGAACAGGACTTAAACGCATATAATAGCGATTCAGATCATAGTGAAGGGGTCAGTACTGGAATTCGCTCAGTACTGATGGGTAGATCTAGATCTATAAAATCCAATGGGACGTCGAAGGCACGGAAATCAAGTCGGAGGGTGGAATATACCTCAAAGTCTACATTGTGGAATTGGTGTAATTCCTAAAATCATACATTTACAAAAACTACATTCAATTTCTAACATAACTGCCAAATTTCCTTAAACCAAAGAGTATAAAGTAAGAAATACAGCACTTTGAAATATACACACCGGATTCGAACTCATAAGGGCACGGCGGTCCCAGGACAGGTACAGAGTCCGTGGGAGTACGGCCAGGATTAAAAAGAGTTAAGCTTAGTTAGTTGACCTGTCTGATTTGTTAGATTTTTCTAGAAGAACCCCTTCAAGGTAAAGAAAAACATGTCATAGTCAGTGCCTTGCAAAATATGCTAGAGAAAAACAACAAGTTAGCTCGCTTTAACCCTATCCGTACGTCGTATTTAACTATCCTATCCATATGACGTGGGGAACTCTGTGCCACCACTTTCCAAAGAGGAAATTTATTCGTTAATCCGATTCGTACGCTTTTGCAAAGCAGTCTGTCAAAATGATTTTTTGAGAAATAACTGAAAGTTTCAAAGAGATCTTCGTACTACAAGTATTATAAAATGTGAAGAATACAATCCCGGGGGTACAAAATGACCCCAGGGCGTACGGACAGGGTTAACAATCCCGAAGAGGGAAACATTAATTACAATAGCAGAACTGGTAACAAAATGTCTATATATATGTTATTACTTTAACTACAGATGTGATATTCCGAAATATCATTTCTCTCTTAATAAAATTTAGTTTCGAAACTGAAATGGGGAACTTATTTACCACATGGACCTCAAAGATGAAAGAAACCAAGCAAAAAAAAAATTCACCAAACTTTTCTTTTTCAGTGTCCTTTTTTTAGTGTCGACGGAACATTTTCTTTTCTAAAAAAGATTCTCCTTTCACCTCCTTTCCTGCTCTCTAACAATGCTCTGTCGTCTGATTTCGTCTGCACTTTCTGCCACCACCTCCTCATCTCCCTTGCCCCCTCCTCTGGGTTCCTGACTCTTTCTGCAGCCTTTCTACTGCTACTTCTGGGCTCCTTACTGCTGTCTTTCAGCCACACCCCTGATCTTCTGGTAGGAAAGATCTACACCTAGCCATCGATTATTTTACTCCAGCAACGGAAGAAGAAATCAAAAAGATCATATTAGATAGTCCATCAAAAAGTTGCGCCTTAGACCCTATGCCCACCAGCCTTTTAAAAAAATGTTTGCATGAACTTCTTCCACATATCACCCAAATTGTAAATGATTCTCTCCTCACAGGCACAGTACCAAATTGCTTTAAGACAGCCCATATTAGACCCCTTTTGAAAAAATCTGGACTTGATGAAAAGGACTTTAAAAATTTTAGACCAGTTTCAAATCTTTCTTTCCTTTCCAAAATTCTTGAAAAAGTTGTATCTAATAGACTGTTACATCATATTAAAGCAAATAATCTTAGCGAAGTCTATCAGTCAGCATATAAGGCACACCATAGTACCGAGACAGCGTTACTTAGGGTCTGTACTGATATTTTAAAATATATTGATGAAAAAAAGGTATGTCTTCTTACTCTTTTGGACCTTTCGGCTGCATTCGATACCATTGATCATGGTATTTTACTCGAGAGATTAAATACTACTTTTGGCATAAAGGGTACTGTCCTGCGATGGTTTGAGTCATATTTTAAGGATCGAACACAAGCAGTTGTGGTTGGAAACATGTGTTCTAATAATGTTTTGCTTAGACGTGGTGTTCCTCAGGGGTCTGTTCTTGGACCTGTCTTGTTTACAATGTATACACAACCTATTGCTGATATTTTAAGACAATATGGCATGAATTACCATCTTTATGCTGATGACACTCAAATTTATAAGTCTATTGATTTCGATCAAATACCACTTTTAGTCGACTCTACAGAACAATGTACTAGAGATTTAAAAATATGGATGACCAGCAATAAATTGAAACTAAATGATGACAAGACGGAAATAATGTTGAGTGGAAATACAAAAGCCATTAAAAATCTCCCAGAGCTACAAATTGATATTAATAACCATACCATTCGTTCTAGGGGTTCAGTTGGATTATGATATGTCTATGTCCTCCCAAATAAGCCAGCTCAGCAAAAATATTTACTTTCAGCTTAAGAAAATTGGCAGTGTAAGAAATTATTTAACTAAAGCAGCAGCCAAGACACTTGTAACAACACTCATTTTATCAAAGTTAGATTACTGTAATGTTATTTTGTCCGGTTTGACATCCGAAAAACTATCAAAGTTACAAGTACTTCAAAATCAAGCAGCAAAATTGATAATGAAACAAAAGAAATCAGCCCACGTAACACCAATTCTGAAAGAACTACACTGGCTGCCAATAAAAGAAAGGATTAAATACAAAACTGCCGTTCTCTCTTTTAAATGTATAAATGATAGTGCACCTTTTTATCTTAAAACATTCCTGGAATTATATAATCCACCTAGAGCCCTTAGATCAGCCTCTGACAATCTAATTCTTAAAACTACAAAACAAAACTACAAAACATACGGCGAGCGTTCCTTTTTGTTCTTTGGTCCCCAGGTATGGAACGAAATCCCATATAAAATAAGATCTGCCCCAACAATTTCCATTTTCAAAAATCAGCTGAAGCATTTTTTATTCACAAAAGCATACCTGTCATAATGATGTACTGTGATATATACGCATGTGTATGCCAGACTGTGAGACTGAAGAAATAGCGAGTGAGAATGAGAGAGAGAAAAAGAGAGAGAGAGAGAGAGAAAAGAGAGAGATAGCGAGAGAGGGAGAGAGAAAGAGAGAGAGAGATAGAGGGAAAGGGAGAGAGAGAGAGGGAGAGAGAGAGAGACAGACAGACAGACAGAGAGAGAGAGAGAGACAGACAGACAGACAGACAGACAGAGAGAGAGAGAGAGAGAGAGAGAGAGAGAGAGAGAGAGAGAGAGAGAGATAGAGTGGAAGGAAATGTTTTTCTATCTGTATAGAATTAATGTTTTAATGAATGTTTCTAGTTACTCACGTTTCAACTGTATTTTGACTGTTTGTGAAATTTATATTGCATTGTATATTTTTAGTGAACACATTTTCAACCTCACTGCGAGACTGTTTTTCTGGTATAAAATTTTACACATATGCATTTATATTATATGTATAATACTTTGTTTTACGTACACATTTGTGTCGATTAATTTTTAAGATGTGATGTCTTTTTCATTGTAATGCGCATTGAGCATCTTTTAGGAAATGGAAATGCGCAGTATAAATGCTATTTATTATTATTATTATCATCTCAGACATGGGCGAAAAATATCGGAGGTCCAGTGTGCAAGTTCCGCATGATAAAGATACCTTGGTGGTCTAAAATCAATAAGAGAAGGCTTCGGCCGCACACCCGGACAAAATTCCAAATTTCCTACCAAACTGAAAATTGTTGAATGTGTGTTCCGTGCGCTCATATGGCATTATGAAGTTGCAAGCGCCGTAAAACACTAACAAAAAAAATAATTTTTTTTTATTATCTTCGATCAGCTATTAAGATGTAGTAAGCCCCAAATCTTTTATCTATTTTACTGCAATTTCTTAATCTGTGTTACTGGTTGCATCTACCCCAGAAAAGTTTTGTCGAAATTCAAATTCTAAATGATAAAAAAACAAAACAAGAAAAGATACATGAAATTGATACAATTTTTAAATGAATGAAACAGTTTCTTTCCCCTCTTTCCAGACAGATTTTGCTTTCTTGGCTTGGAACAGTTTAACAGCTTGACGATATTGTGACCCAATAAGCAAATGTAAGCGTATGCAATATGCAAAAAATATTTTTTTAAAATCACTTTTCCGAGCACACTTACTTTCAAACACTCCGGTGTACTCCCCGTTGCATGCATCAAAGCAGTCTTTCCGGTGACATCGTAGGCATCCTTTTCTATTCCGGGAAGCGACAGCACAAACTCTAGCATGTCAGAGTTGCCTTGCTAAGGAAGAAAAGATTATATCTCATTTCAGAACAAAGACAGAAGGTGAGTATATACATGAGAAAAAGAAAATAAGCATACATACATAAATAGCTAATAGCTATGCTACAGAAAAACCATAATCAAAAGGAAATTTGATGATTACATTTTAAATAAAAGTTTGTAAAAACAGCCACACTTGAAACAAAAGGTGCAGAAAACCAAATATCATCATCAAACACGGAGGCACGAGAAGATCGGTAATACCTCTCCTAAAATCATTATAGAGATAAAGACAGCTTAGAAACTTTAAGCGGACTCTGAACATTTTGCTCTATATAATATACTGACCGGCATAGTTAACGTGAAAAAGTAACTTCATTTGTCTCTATTCACAATGTGTTCTTGTTATTGGATTGGCTCGATTTTAAAAAACACAACACGCTCATTGGCTGCTTATGCATCAAACAATACAACAAAGCAACCCTCTCAATGGTACGCAGTTAAAACATGAATTTTTGCTCACATGTTAAGTTGGTCTGGTCTATAAATTCTCTGCCCTAAAATGTTTGATTGAGTGTTGCATAGTCCGACTATCAAGATGCCAAGATTATCTGCAGAAAATCGAGAAAGAGCTATTGGACGTCTGCAAGTCAGCAAGAGCCCTCAGCAGGTGGCAACAGTCTTGGGAGTGCTTGCCAGCACTATCTACCACCTGCAAAACAGATTCCAGGCACCCAACTCCATGAGATATCTCCAAAGAAGTGGAAGACCTCCAATGACAACAGCTGCCCAAGACCACTTTGTCGTGCGTCAGCATCGCCGAGATCCACGGTTGTCTGCCACCGAGACAGCCCAGAACACCATAGGAGCACACGGTAGAGCCTTGAGTGACCGCACCATATGCCGCCGACTCGCGGCCAGGGGGCTGTGTTGTCGGCGTCCAGAGCAGAGGGCACCCCTGAACGTCCATCATCAATGAGCGTCATCGGCAGTGGCAGCGTGTGATCTTCAGCGACAAGAGTCGCTTCTGCATCGATCCTGACAATAAACGGGTCCAACAGCGCTACTCTTGACGAAAACATCTGAGAGAGACCCGTGGGGAGACCAAAGTGTGATGATATGGGGCGCAATCTGTATCAATCAAAGACTGGGCCCCATAATCCTCCCAAATTTAGGACATAGACATGGCCACGGAGTGACGGAACAGTGCAACATCAACCAAGTTCTGCAGCCCCATGTTGCTCCATTTTCCCAGAGACATCAAAACCACCTCTTTCAGCAGGATAACGCCCGGCCTCATACAGCATGTGCTGTCCGGCAGTTCCTGGTGCAGAAACAAAATACCCACCATGCTTCACCCACCCCGATCACCAGATGTGAACCCAATAGAACACCTTTGGGACATCCTTCAAAGGCGTCTCAACCAACTCCAGCCCAGACCCCGGACAGCTGCACAACTGGGTGCTGCTATTCTTCAGGAGTGGGTGCAGGTCCCCAACTACCAAATCAATCGCTTGGTCCACTCTATGCACCGCTGATGCACTGCTGTCATCAACGCTAATGTGGGCCATACCAGATACTGACTGGAACTTAAGCCGCAAGGTCAATGTCATTGATGCCGAATAACAAAATCTGTCCCCAAGCAAATCCCCAACTCTCAAGCATTGTTTTGTGCAAATTGAGACACCTCAAACCTGTTTCTCTTAATAAAAATATTGCTTCAATTTACTCTCCTCTTCTTGTGTCATGTGAATTCGCATTACATTTGCCGGTAAGTATATGAAGCCATCGTCCTGCTCAGACAAAATATAAGAAAAGATTTACCCACCATCTGGAGCAACATTATGCTACTATATGACTATGAGAAAACAACCTTTCAATCTGGTTATCTCGAAATCTTTTTTTTTTTTTATAGTAGAGGGTTTTACAGCGCTCGCAACTGCATAAGGTCATATGAGCGCCAAGGAGTGGATGCCAACAGAGAAGTCTTTACAGGGAATCAGACTTATTCTGCTCACCTCTCTAGCTTCAACAGCACAAGGTCTGCTTCGACTATCAAGGCACCCCAAAAATAGCAGGTCACAAGAGAGTGACAAACATACAAAAGAAGTAGAGGAAAAATGACAGTAGTGAGAATTAGGAAAAAGAAAGCAGCAGTTCCCTGTTGTAGATCAGGCACAGTTATGAGCGTGACATGAATCAGCCCATTTACGATTCAACTGTGCTTGAACGAGAAATGTCCCCCATTTGGGAATGGCCAAAAGACACTACAGTCAGTGGCACTACCGCGGGGGCCTATCTCGAAATCAAAGCATCCACTTCTAACACATTTTCATTAGCCACTATACATACAGGGTTCCTGCCATGAGCTCCACACCAAATTCTAGGGGGGTTTCAAGGAGAAATTTTTAAAATTCACTGAGGTTTCAAGGAGAAATTTTAAAAACTCAAGAATATTTGGTAAAAAAATTCATGTCGAAAGCATATTTCCGATAGGCCTACACTTGTTTGAAAGGAATCATAGTTTCGATTTTCCAACAAAAATTTTGTTCATGTCTGATCCAGCAAAATTCAAGGAGTTTTCTCCTTGAATGCAGATTCAAGGAGTTTTCGAGGACATATTATATCCTATATCCCACTGCATGATCATACATATGATTTCAAACAACAATATTGATGTAAGCGTAACAGGTGCCAAATCCTTACAACTGGCTGGGAGAGAAAGTATCTACCAATATTCAAACCTCTAACAAAACAACAATAATAGTAATAATAATGAAGACCATTTCTATAGCGCCCACTTCCATATGAACCCAGCTCTAGGCGCTTTACATAAATGCAAGTATCAACAATATTCATGCACACACACACACTCACGCACACATGCACGCCAAACACACACATCTACTTGCTTATCACACGCGCACTCTTACACATAGTTACAGCATGAGCACACATACAAATACATAATAAAATAATATACGCAATGCAATTCACAAAATACATAAATGGATACACAGTTTTTTACGTAACATTGCACTGAACATGAATCACGGCAAGACTGACCTTGACTGCCTCATGCACCATGGAGCGCCCTCGAAACGTCTGATTGACATCGACTCCACCATACAACAAGGAGATGATCACATCTGGTCTCCCATATGCTATAGCTCGCTGGACGTTGCATGGGGAAAAAAAAAAGAAAAAAGCTTCAATGAAGGTAAACAAAGTGTTTTACCCCTCCAAGAGGAGGGACCATTTGAAATAGGCGTCGGTGGCCTAGTGGTTAGGCTCTTGGACTCGTAACCGTAAGGTCGTGGGTTCGAATCCCGTCAAGGCACTTTACACGAATTTTCCTCACTTCACCCAGGTGGGAATGGGTACCCGGCCATAGACAGCGAAAGATCTTGTCAGTTTGTTAGTGCTTAGCGCTTAATCAACTGCTTGCACTGTATGCTTCCCGGGAAGCTGAGAATGTTTCGAAGTGTTCTATGGTCTGCTGGGGTAATAATATAGTGTAAAGCGCATAGAGCCTGCTGTTGAGCGGGGATATGCGCTGTACAAATGCTATTATTATTATTATTATCTCACACCTCTGAAATGATCTATTATTTAACACTGGCACTCCAAAACACAGAGACACATAATAAAGTAAAAAGAACGAACATGATATAATAATAGCATCACAGCAACCTTGCAGCAAACAGTTTAGTAAGAGTTTTAAAGCGCTTGCAACACAATACTCTAAGGTACTGAATAAGAATCCCTCCCCCCCCCCCCTGCTTATTAATTTTCAGGGGTTCCCCCCCACCCCTTATTCCAAACCCCCTGTTTATTATTATCTAGCTTGCCATGACCGACGATCACGTGAAACATTATTTCTAAAATCTGGATATCTGAATGAAACTTCTTTATTTTTGTAAATGAGCTTTTGCCAACAGGTGGATACCTAAAATGTAGCACAGGTTTGATGATGAAGTTTTTAAAATTTCGTTTTTACATGAACTGTTCTATTCATGTATATCTCCTCCCACAAAAACATGTATTTACAGACCTACAGACGGCATGCTAAGCTGTGTAACTGGCGTTACGTAAGGCCCAAGTCAAATTCTTTCAGACATAACTATGAAGACACATTTTTTTAAGAATGTGTACATATAAAATTATTTTAACAGTTTTCTTATTGCTTTAATTTTCAAACATAAGCATGAAGAGCATATAAAATGGAGAGGATCAGAGAAACAAGAAATTCTGAATGTCATTGTGTTTGCATTTGTGTCATCATAGTTATGTCCAAAAGAAATGAAAAACTTTCCGGTTTCATATATTTTAATTTCTTTTATATAAATATGGGCAAACAACCATTCAGAAGATTCAGTTTGACTCACAATGCATGTTAATGATGAAAAAATGCCACTTTATTCACATTTTACAACGAATCTCCGCAAAATATCTTATATCTTTCGAACATAACCATGATGACACAATATGAAAAATACCCTGAAAAGTAAATTATGGAACATAAAATTATCTTAATAGTTTTCTCATTGCCTTAATAGTTATGTCCAAAAGAAATGAAAAATTTTCCATTTTCATATTTTAATTCATTTTCTGGAAATTTGGGCAAACAAAGATTCAGGAGATTCAGTTTGACTCATAAAGCATGCTAATGGTGAAAAAAATGCCACTTAATTCACATTTTTCTATGACTCTATGCAAAATACCAAATATCTTTCGAACATAACCACGATGACACATAGTGGATAAATGTTCATCGTCATTTTGGAATATATGAATATATGTCATCAATTTACATCAAATTTTCCCCTCTCGTTGACATCTAGCCAAGAATGCGTGGCTGCATCTAGATCTACCACTACTTGACCTTTGGAAAGCAGTGCGATGTTAACCATTACTTTACTTCTTTTAAATTTTCGAACATAACATATTTAGATTAGATAATGAAATAAGAAAACTTAAATGGACTTGTGTCATACATCACTATTCTTCTTGCCGTCTTACATCGCACAACAATACGCTTAATGGATCGACAGGAAACATATACGTTCATCCACCTATTATTTCTCGTTTTCTGATCTATTCTTTCGAACATAACAAATGATGACAGAGCGTGAGGCGTTGAGGGATTTCCGTTTTCTGCAAAATTACGTACGATCACAGCCTCGGAATCAGTCAGGGCAGAGAGATGACTACATGAGATATGCTCGAAATTGAAAATCTAGGAGGCTCACAAAGAAAAAACAGCTATAGAAATCATTATTCCTGATACAGTACCACAAAAAATGTAGTTATAGTAGTAAAAATGTGGAAGGACGAGTTTCTCAGAAATTTTCATTGTGTTGAACTTGACGAAAGAAAAAGTACGAACTCGACGGGTCACATTTTGCATTCTAAAAATACATTGATTTCAGAACTAAAAATATTTGTAAGATTTCTTCTGATGGCCCGACTGCCATTTCTATACTCCCATAGCCGAAAAATTAAGCACAATACATACAATTTTCAAAGCTGTAGCACTATTTTTATTGGAATTGGAAAGGATTTTGTATGTATGTAAGATATATATATATACGAAGAAGCCCCCACCTTTTGGCAAAGGCTCATGGCAAAATTACCCTTATTATTAGTACCGGTACCGGGTTGTCTACCTCAATTTTCGGTGCATTTAAAAAACTTTTGTACATAAGTTTATATTTTTTTTTAATGAAACTGGTATGTTGCTACATGGGAAAAGTTGTCACAGTAACTCACTAAAATTTCATGATCTCTTGTTCTTTTATTCAATGAAGGAGAAATAATACAGACTTGTACCTACTAGTACAGGGGTATGAGGTTGAATGTGCCAGCCCTCCCCCCACTTTATTCCAACCCCCCTCCCTCTCCCTGTTTATTTGTTTTGAACCACTTGTCCACACTCCCGTCTATTTCTCCCTCCATACCACAGAGTAAGGTAATACAAGTGCCAAAGATTAGAGGTGTTACAAAAAAGTAACAAACAAAAAAGAAGAAGCGATAAGGACTATAGTACAATAAATATTTGAAAGGAAAGAAAGAGCAAACCATGCCAGATCATCCGCCAACCACCTGCTAGCAGCAAATTAAATGAAGCTATGTTTAGTTAAAGTTCAAGTTCAACAGAACTTTGCAACATGAATCTATTATAGTTCTATTAGAGTTTTTACAGCGCTTGCAACTTCATAAGGTCATATGATCGCCAACGGGTGGATGTCGACAGAGAAGTCCATACTAGGAATCAGGCTTACTCTGCACACCTCTCTAGCTTCAACAGCACAAAGTCTGCTTCGACTATCAAGGCATCCCAGAAATAGCGGGTCACAAGAGTTACATGACAAAAATACAAAAGAAGTAGAGGAAACATGACGATAGTAAGGATTAAGAAAGAAAAAGCAGCAGTTCCCCGTTGCAGTTTCAGCACAGTTATGAGCATGACATTGATGAATCAGCCCATTTACAATTCTACTTAACATAAAAAAACATGTTAATGTCCCCTCTTTGGGAATGGCCTATTTTTAAAGACACTTCAGTCAGTAGCACTGCCCCAGGGGGGGGGGGTGTTGAATAGTTATCTAAGTGCCAAAGATCATAGGTGTTACTAGATAGCAACTGTCATATAATACAACAACAACAAAAAAGAGAGAGAGAGATCAGGACGAAGAAGACGCTTTAAAGTTGAAAAAGAAGCAGCTTAGACACACAAAACACAAATCTAAGGTTTAAAGCGGTACATCCCCAGAGCCAGAGAAGAAAAGAAAAAAAACAACTTACCATCAATGCAAATCCAACATGCCAGGATTGTACAAATCCTGGACGAGCAGCATCTATCTTCCTAACAGTATCAGCAAAATCTTGCTCATGACCTGGGCAGATTTCAAAAGCCTGCTGCACGAAACATTCTGAAAATTCTTGATAAAATGTATGCTGAAGAGTAGCCTGGTTGTAATAATATCTCTGTGCTTGAGCACTATCATAAAAATAAATGGCTTCCTGCATTTTCAATATTTTCAGTTCTATCCTTTCAAACTTTCCACTGTATCACATCCAATGAGACCTGAGAAATGAAAAGAGAATTTAAGACATACAATTAAAACTCAATAGTCTTTAACATTTATTATAACCTATCATTTTCAAAGAGACACAATAATTACCTTCATTGTTAAAGCTGAAAATAACAACTACTTGAGAATAACCACTTCTTCACAAAAAAACATATCTGTAGATCTATGGATTTTACCGAAAAATGTTGATTAAAAACACCAAAAGTGTAAATTTCACGTTTTTAAGAATTCTCAAGCTATGGAAGTGACAAAACTTTGGTGGTCATTTTCTCGCTTTTTTTACCTCTGAAACAAGGCAACCCCAACCTCCTTCATTCGCAAATATCTCGTCTTCTGTTGTAGATTAAAAGAGCATTTTTTTCCCGTCCAAACAAGCCAAATGAACAGGCTATAAGATGATAGCAATATCTGCACATGCCTAAAAATTTACGAGCGCCTGATTCCACCGCGTCATGACACACATATATATATATATATATGCGTACCAATCAACAGCCTGGCGGACTTCTCTATGGATCTCCAGTCAAGGTCTGCTCTTTTTTAAGATCTGACCATTTTACGAGAGCCTTACACTGACCAACATCACATGTGATGCTATTATTATAATAATAAAACACGTTTTGTTTGGCCCTTTAAAAAATTAATGTTAAAGATGGTTATTTAGAGCAAAATTTTTGGCATTTAAGTTGAATAAAGTGGTTTAGGATGTCTGATCACTTGAAATTTTGAAATTAAATTCGTGGTTGCTTTACATCTAAATTTGTGTGTGTGCCTAAAGAAAGGTACCAAAAGTCGCCACAGACCATTTTGAGCTACAGGCTGATAATGACAAAAAAATAACTTTTTTGACGAAAATGTTTTTTCAGAAAAAATTATAGTTCCATCATTTCTAAACAAAGTGTTAAAAGAAGTTTTCACAGATTTGACTTCTAAATATTTTATTTTGAATTATTTTGAGGGTAGGGTAGGTTTTAAAAAGATAATGAAAATTGCTTTTTAAAGGTGTTAAAATCTATTCTTGAAGCATGTTTTCTCTTCGACGCTATGTTTTACCATTGAACTCTAATCATGATATTGATGTCAACTGAATGCCGAATCGGAAATGAATTTTTTCATGAAGAAATGCATTAGAAACAATTGAACCATCGTTTTTTTTACAAGTTAGTATGTTTTCTAAACTTCAAAGCTAATTTTCTCAAAATTAGATCTTTATACTCTACCTCGCAAAATGTGCAATATCTCAAAAACTACTTGAGATTCTCAATTCAGCGTTGAATGTCCTATTAAGAACAACTCTTAACTCAAAATGATTAAAATCCGACTTTTGGTACATTTCTTTAAGCACACACATATTTGTATTAATAATCTAGATCTAGTTTATCTTGTATGGTTTAAAACAAGACTTTTTTTTTTTTACTGATTTTTTGGTATGTGTTTGTTTTCTCAATTTTTTAAATTAGATTATTAGATGAAAATAAATGTTTTGTTTACATCATATTTGAATTCCCCTTTTAACACTTTTCTTCCACGACCTTTTTTCATCCACAAATATGCTCTCAGACAGAATGTGCTAAAAACAGGCTGTTTCACGCCAAAAAAATGTATTTCTCAGCTTGTAGTAAATATAGACAAAAAAGATTTAAATACGACAGTATGTGAATGGGCTAAATGGTATGCGAATTACTTTCGATTCCCTTTCTACTTTTTGTCATGGTTTTTAGGACAGAACTGAGCCAATTACATGACAATTGAAGAAAATGAATACTTAGGGCATGGAAATTAAATAGAATAGCATTCAAGGAAACGAAAAGTCTAAAAATGATTGGAAAGGAGTTGTAAACAACAACAAAATGAGAAACTAAAAAAATTGGATGAACAGCAAATAAAATTGATGAAAAAATAAACAACTCATCATACAAGAATTTGCTATTTGCTTGTTTGAGACTGTTTTCATATTGGTAAGCATCTTGTTAGTTTTTGTCTGACAATTCTGTTTCAGTTTTAGTAGAGGTTTTACGGCGCTCGCAAGTGCATAACATCATATGAGCGCCAAAAGGTGGATGTCAGCAGAGAAGTCCTTTCAGGGAATCGGGCTTACTCTGCTCTCACCTCTCTAGCTTCAGCAGCACAAAGTCTGCTTCCCCTATCAAGGCATCCTGGAAATAGCGAGTCACAAGAGAGTGACAAACATACAAAAGAAGCAGAGGTAAAATGACGATAGTAAGGATTAGGAAAGAAAAAGCAGCAGTTCCCTGTTGCAGTTCAGGCACAGTTATGAGCATGACATTGATGAATCAGCCCATTTACAATTTACAATTATCTACTGTGCATGAACATGGTTAATGTCCCCCCTTTGAAAATGGCCTAAAGACACTCCAGTCAGTAGCTGCGAGAGTGTTTGAGTGTTTACATAGCTTGTAGTAAAGTCTGACTCACCTACCAAAGTGTCAAATAATCTACACATGTGTCATGTACTCCAGAAAGCAGCATTTACTGGGCCAAAGCCCGACGAGCAGTGACATAATCCGATTTCGTGTGGTAAAGTTCGAAACAGTTGTCAATACATAGTGCCACATCACACGAAGGACAGTAGTGCCGTGTTTGAGCTCTAATGTTTGCAGGAGCACACACTCTGCACCTAGGTCTATGTTTTGGATCAGTGTATTTCCTGGGAAAATGCAGAGACTCAGCAGCCGACAATCTTGGGGCTGCAGGGTTTGGTCTAGCTTGCCTTGCTCTCTGATAGTTCTTCATGTGGGGAGAGACTAGCTGATCGATCAGAGCATTTCTGAAATCTTTAGCAAATGTTTCTTTGCTCTGTTTTGCTTTATACAGAGCAAAAGCATTCACCATTGCCACTTCTTTAACAAAATGATATAAAGCGTGGTACCACTTACAGTTTCTGTGAGGGTATTCACAGTTTTTGGTCACTTGGTCGAAATAGTCGACCCCTCCCATGAAACCATTGTAATCCTCCGCGATAACTGGCTTTTCTACTGTCCTAAAGCCTCCTGGAGCTCCACGTTTCCGGACCAGTTTGTCCACTGTATTGTCAGTGTGGATGGTGCTCATCAGACTGCACCTCTTTGCGTCATGCCAGGTCACGCACACTATCTCACCACTCCGAGAGAACACAGGACTGTCTCCTTTCTTCAAAGCTAGATTAATTCCCTTGTGATAAGGAGGAAAATCAGGTCTGCTCTCAAGCACTGTGCCCACTGCACCAGTGCTGTTCCCTTTCAGCCACTGTACAAGCGAGGGGTAGGTAAAAAAATGATCAGTGTAGAGTACATGACCTTTGTCGATGTAGTCTTTGACGAGCTCTTTCACCATAAAACAGGCAAAGTTGTCACCCTCAACTTGAAAGCGTTCCTCGCTTGAGGACACCATAAATTTCAACATGTACCTGTTCACTGCATCACATAAACTGAAAATTCTGATGCCATGTTTGGTAAGTTTGTCTGACATAATGTACTGCCGTGTGTGAATTCGTCCTTTGAATCTTGCCACTGATTCATTAACAGCAAGTTGTCTGTGGGGATAGTAAGCCAGTGGATAGGTAGGGCCTGTGATATCAAGCAATGGCTGAATCTTAGCTAAAGGATCAAAGCCATCTTGTCCCCTTGGAATCCAGGCAGCATTATCCAAAAAATGTAAACAGGTTTGAATCATCTGATACCTGTGACGACTCATAACGAGTCCAAATTTCGTCTCGTCGAGCCAAAAGCTTGCCCAGTGATCCAGTAAAGCTGGTCTAGGGTATAGGCCCATAGCAACTTGCAAACCTACAAAAGCTTTCATTTCTTCAACAGTAACGTCTTTCCAACGCTTTTCATAAAACTTGTTCTTGTGGAGATGGGTGCTGGCGTATTTGTTTGTTTGTTCAACCATGAGTTCGAATGCAGCAAGGGGGAAAAAAATACTGAAAAGTTCTTCTTCAGTAAAGCCTGTGGTGTCTATCAATGGCCCAGGCTGCTGATTGAAGTCAGGTATCCATTCAACTTCGTATGGATCGTCTTTGTCATAAAACTCCCAACTCAAGTTTGCTGTGGGGACACGCCCCTCTTTGACAGCACCACTTCGTTTTCTTCCCCTCTCTGGTCCTTTAGAGGTACTCGAAACACCTTCTGTGCCTAGACTACTGCTTGGTCTGGATCTGACCTTTCTTGTCAAAGGTCCTGGCAGATCAGTATCACTTTTATTACTTTCCTCACTTGATACAGATATGGCACAACTAATCCAGGAGGCTGAAGCATCACTGCCTTCAGAAAATCCAATGCTTTCATCAGAATATGACATTTTTGGAAAAGAGTCAAAACACTTGCAAATGCCTTGAAAAAATTCACATACAGGATTTGAATTGTCCGAGAGTCTAGGAAGCAGAAACAATCGCTACTCAACTGTGCATGAAGGCAAGGGACAATACTGGCGACGTGTGGACCTAATGGTTGAAAGGGTATGTCGCCGAAAAAGAAAAGTGTTAATTAAGAGCTTTTTTAATTTGAAGCACAAATAATAATATGTCTATGTCTATCTGAACAAATACCAATAAAAACAATATTTTTAGGAAAGTGGGACATATGTGTGGAGTAGGACCTTACTGTGAAGTCTGCCATATAAGAGAATCAGATGACTCAGGTGGCTGGACCATGTTTGTCAGATTGACCTCAGTCCACATACAGGGTGATCCAAAAAAAATGTTGTTGTTTTTTTTAATATTTCGCACAAAATTTGTTCCAGAATGTTGTAATTTGGAACAGATATAATAATTCATTCAAAAGGAATTTGTTTGACATAAAATTCACAAAGAAAAAACGTATTTTCGAAAACGTAAGTGGCTTTTATAAAAACCACCAATAAATGCAAAATGCACCAATTTAAAAGATCTTGTAAGAAAAGTCATGTACAGATTGGTTTGTTTTTTTTCCTTTCCATTTATTTTTAAAATCTAATCTTCCATCCCTGTAAGCTTTAAACAATATATATTCTTTTCTCCTACTGAGTAAAAAAAAATTGTTTTAATTCTGGAATTCCTAGAACCAAGGGTCTCATGTCCTCTTTTAGACACGACACACATTAACACGTCGTTCGTAATGTTCAGAGGTGGCCAAACACAAGGATCCACTCAACCGTGAGTACTCCAAGCCACACGCACTGTACACCTTATAGTATGGAGCTGGTTCTAGAGACAATGGGGGTGGGGGGGGGGGGGGGGTGGGTGGGGTTGAGGTTGCCCAAATAGACAGCATTAGTGGAGTTGATATAACCTGAAAGGTAAATATGGGCTTCGTTAAGGAACCAAATGTCACAGAGGAAATGTTCACGCTTTTCAAGACGATCGAGGAATCATGAACACATTGCTATCCTCTGATAGCTTCGCAAACAGGAAAATGGTACAGCCATAGATGAAGATATGCCTTGAGAATGCGGACCATTGAGAATTAGGAGAGTCATTGCTGCAGCAGACATCGTCTACGGACAGATGTCTCATGGGGCTCATCAACTGAATGCTGCACCCTGGTGACATTAAAAGGGGTGCGAACGGTGTGTTTGACCTGAAGTGGTCGTTTTGCCTGGTAATTCTTGATTCTGATGCTCTACAGGTCCTAACTGATGGACAATTTCCGCCCTTGACACCAAAGAACACCTTAACCCTCTGCGGTCACTTCGCACAACAATGCAACGGCGAAAATTATCCGTTCCAAGTTCTGCGCCAGGCCCACAAAGTCGGTTGCAGTCGCTCTCCTGGCTGGGTGACCAGAATTCACCACGATGCCTAACATTTTGTCAGCTTTACTTCACTTTTCATATTGAATTTTAATGAGAGTAAAGTATAATTTAAATTTTTTATGTATACGTACCAGCATGTACTTTTACACGATCAGCCCAGAAAAATTTCCCTCTGGGATAATAAAGTATATATCTTATCTTGAACTGCTGGTTGTGTGACTGCAAAGTGTTAAGGGCAATTTAACAGTGTTTTCGTACCTTGTGCGAAACTTACAAAATGAGAGGGTAGTGAGGCAATGTTCAATACAAGAACAAGCTCTCAGCTCTTTATTATTAGTCTCAACAATGAATTTAGCAGAGGGGAGACCCCCTGCACTATGCACCTTTTTTTAAGCTACACATAACACGACTTCCATCTTTGTTTCCGATTGTGCAGATCTAATCTAGATCTACATTATAATGATAGTGTGTGTGTGTATAAATTTCAATGGAGTTAGGGCGGGACCACTTCTCCCGTAGAACGACGCCAACTATTTTTAGGTAAGGTGGCCATCTTGTGTGAGTGTGACGTCAGACCAGGATATCCCTCCCATCACGTGACTACATGATCTAAACATAACCAACCGCATGGCACCACAGATCGTGTATACCTACCTTGGCACGACGTTTGGTGCAATGTTTTTCCAGGAGACATTATACCGGTAATGTGACATGATGCAGTGCTCCAATGATGCTGCTGCTTATCTCCTCTGAGCATTTTTACCGGGCCGGGGGGGGGGGGGGGGGATCTCCAGGTGTGGGTATTTACGGCAATTTTAGCACGCTTTATTGTCTTTGCATTTACTTACCGTGTTTCAATTTCAAGCATCAGCGTTCTTACTGTTCTGAGCATCAACGATCTAAGCGATCTTCTATCACCAGAGAATGGCCGTGGTCCGATGAGCCTACCAGCTATCCCCTGCTGAAATATTTACCAAGCGAGAAATTTTATTATACCGGGACGGTAAATAAAAATCGACATGACTTTTCGCCTGAGCTGAAAACAAACAGGCTGGCTTTCAGAGAAACGAGGTGGTACAAGCAGGATACAAAGTACCTGTGTGTAACATTTTGAAACAAAAAAGCAAAGAAACCGTGTGTCATGGTATCTAGCGAGGCACAAGTACGTGCAACAGAGGTGAAAGCGGTGGACAAGCCGGTTGTAATTCAAGATTATAATAAAAACATGAACGGCTGTGATAAAATTGATCAAAAGGTCCAGACCTATGGTACCTTCAATAGAAGAACAAGAAAGTGGTGGAAGAAGATTTCTCTGTGGATCTTTGAGATCACACAGATCAATGCTTTTTATACTTTACACACAAAATCTCAGCCTGAAGGTGCTAAAAGAAGCTTCCGTAGCTGAAATTCAAAACGAAGCTCATTGATGAGCTCTGCAACCTTGCGACACTACATCTGGTTGAGATACAAGATAATAATGACAATAGGGGTCATGCTCAGCCAGAAAATCCCTTGAATAGGGTCTGCAACAGTTCCCATGTCATTGTGAAGTCAAAACTGACCTGTGAATGCAGAGAGTGTAGCACACGCGAAAAGAGGGTGAGGACTTCATTCTTTTGCAAGAGGTGTGACAGCCAGCCATTTCTGCACCCAAATAAATGTTTTCAGTAATTTCATTCATCAATGTAACTGGGGTTGTGAACTGTACATAGTGTAAATCTTTTTTACAGAGTTCATGATATCTTAATCTAGATTTCTAATCTAATCTAAAAGGTAGTGTTAATTGTGACAGAGAGATGCTGTGACAACTAATACTAATGCGGCGTTAATTGCGACAGTGAACACGGAGCTCTTTCACATTAATGACTAGAATCTAAGATCTTCTAGATTCTAGATCTACCATTTCCGCTTCCCTTCCCAGCGTAGTGGCTCTAGGCTTTCTAGAGCAGGCATTCAAATCTTACGACGAATTTGACAAAGCTTAAATTCAAAGTTGAAAATTTTGTCCCCTTTAGCCTTTAGACCAAACTTTAGTGAACAAATCATCTGAAACAGAACTTGAGATGGCGAACTTAAAGTGTGAGGCAAAAATCCACAAAGACTTTCTGTACAGTACAGTACGTTGACTTTATCTCCTGTATACATTTCATTTCATTATATATATAGATCTACTTATATAGACAGCCCAAATATTGAGGCAACAAATATTACAACAAAACATCAGTAGCATAGTAACAGTAACAGTACAAAAACCACAACAAGATCTAGAATAGATCTAGGGGCAACCACAGCAACAACAATCAACAAGGAAAGAGTGCGACTGTCTTTGTACTTTGTTTGTTTAGTTGTGTGTGTGAGTGTGCGCGCGCGGATAAGTATATAAGGCCACACGCGTGTGCGGTGTGAGTTTGTCACGTGTGTGTGAGTGTGTGTGTGTCTGTGTGTGAGTTTGTGGTGATCTGTCTTATACTTTTAAATAGCACGTTAAATTCCCAAAGTCTACTTGATTCTAGATCTATCTAGTACTATTATCTAGATCTATATCTAGATCTAATCCCCGACTCAGACCTTCAAAACTTTGAACTGTGCGCAAACTACCGTAATTTTATAATGAACAGATATATGGTATAACAGTGGTTTTCGGTCTTCCATTAGCCATTGTGATTTTGGAAGCCATTGTCATTGAGTATTAATCTTGATTAGATAGATCATGTTTTAAAGTGGTCGCTCGTTACGGAAAAGTTCCGAAAAGGGAATAAAATCAATTGAAAAATTTAACGTGCTAAAGTATTTAAGATCACCGAGTTTGTGTGCATGTATGTCACATGTGTACTCACTATAGATGTGTATAAAATTTGTATTCTGTGTGTGTGTGTGTGTGACTAGAGAGAGAGAGAGAGAGGAGAGAGAGAGAGAGAGAGAGAGAGAGAGAGAGAGAGAGAAGGTGTGTGTGCATGTGAGGGTGTGTGTGTGTGGGGGGGGGGGGGGGTTCTTTAACTTCTTTTTTGTCAGACTCACTCTGTCGCAATTAACGCCGCATTAATTGTCACAGCTGACTGACAGCGTCACTGTTGCATTTTAAACGCGACTATAGAATTTCTAGATAGATCTATCTATTAGTCTATTCTATATCTACCTGAGTACCAGCAAGACAGGAGGTGACTTGTCCAGAAAATTACAAGTCTGACCGCGTGCAGTGGTGAACTGGAAGAATTCAAATTGAAAATTCACTTGCATTCCTCCCGCCGACCGTCGACGCCGTGACTGACGGTAGTGTTGACAGTTGACATAACATTGAACAATATCGTTCCTAAACGAAACAGGAAACAGCGCAAAACTGTAAGTAACTGCTTCCGCCCCAGTAACTTTTGAAAATGAGAGTTATCGCGCTTTGCGACGTCGTGATTGGTCAATACTGTGGATTGAGGATTTTACCAGAGACACTAAAATAGCTAGAGACAGGAAACGAGGCCTCGCAGTCAGTGACAACAGTGCATTTGCGAACGTGACCGCTGAGACGCGAGCTAAAAATAACCAGGCGCGGTATCGACAGCGAAGCGCGTCGCGTCTAGCCTAGGCCTAGCGAGGCCTAGGCCTTTCGAAACTAAGCGCGTCGCGTCTGGAGGGGCCTAGACCTAGCTTTCTGCGGCTTAGGTCTAGCGCAATCAGAGAACTGGCCAAGGTTGCATTTGTAAACAATGCCTCTACAATTCTATACTCTTCTGGTCTACAGAAAAGGTTACACATGTTGATGAAAACAGGATAACAGATTTTAAAATTGAATTCTAGATTCTAGGCCAAGTTATAAAATAATGTCTATCTAGATCTAGCATAAAACCAAAACATGTCTTGATAATGTAGACCGAAAACTAGATCTAGAATCTACATCTAGATTATCTAGATCTAGATTCTAGAGATCTAGATAT